GATTACCTCTTGTAATCCTCCCCACAACCCAATGAAGAAGGCATGATTATCATTTCCATTTCAGATGGGGAAACTGAGTCCCAGAGAGGTGAAGTAACTTGTGTGGCTCAGTGACAGAGCTGGGACTTGAACCCAGCTGCCTGGCAGCCACATTGCATTCCCTGGGCCCCCTGGTTATGCAGGGTTGGTTTTATCAGTAGATGCTTACCAGGGTGTCTGCCTGGGAGTCAATGACTCAGAGCAATTGACAGCCCAGATACAGCCCTGCCTTCCAGGATCCCCTGAGCGGAGCATCTAGGGAGACCTTTGCCAAGCCAGGGATAGCAATAGATTCCTAAAAAAGAAGGTGCTGTTAGGAACCGCTAGCATGTATTGGGTTCTTTCCGAATGCCAACAGCTGAGCTAAACACTTCTGCTTGCATATTCTCACGGAATCCCTCACAGAAACCCTCGCAGGGAAGAACTACTATTTTTCACCTTGTACGGTTGGAGAAACTGAAACTCACACTGGCCAGGAGTTTGGATCATCCAGCTAGGAAGTGGTGGGATAGACATTTGACCTTCCAACTCAAGCTCCTCAGGGATTTATTATCTGGTCTCTTGAGGACCATCCATGCCCTTTCCACAAACACTTCTCAGTTCTGAGGTTGACCCGACCCTGGGGGAACACAGCTAAGATTCAAGCCCCTCACAAAGCTCCTCATCTCTGTCTCAGCTAAGTCAAACAGTGCCCAGAAAAAGGTGTGGGGGCTCTGCCTTGAACAGTCAGAAAGGTCCTCCTGGGGCAAGGGACATTTGCACTGGGGTCCTGAAGAATGAGTAGGAGTTCAAGAGTTGAAGAGTGTTGCAGGCATCCATTTATATTCATCCATTCAGCAAATGTTTCCCAAGGCCTCTGGTGGTCCAGGCCCAGTGCTGGGAGATGCTGGGGACACAGACTTGAGTCAGAACCAAGTTTTACCCCCAAGAAACTTCTAGTCTGATAGGGAGGCCAGACACAGATGATCATCAGAGTGCAATGGACAATCCCCAGAGACCAAATAGTAAAGTTCTGAGGTACCCGGAGTCCTGCCTTCCCTGCAGGGTCCACTTACCACCCCAGTGACCAGATAGTAAAGCCCTGGCCAGGCACTCTGGCTCATACCTGTAATACCAACATTTTGAGAGGCTGAGGTGGGAGGATGGCTTGAGCCCAGGAGTTCAAAACCAGCCTGGGCAACATGGCAAGACCTTATCTCTTTTTTTTTTTTTTTGAGACGGAGTCTCACTCTGTCGCCCAGGCTGGAGTGCAGTGGCCGGATCTCAGCTCACTGCAAGCTCCGCCTCCCGGGTTCACGCCATTCTCCTGCCTCAGCCTCCCGAGTAGCTGGGACTACAGGCGTCCGCCACCTCGCCCGGCTAGTTTTTTGTATTTTTTAGTAGAGACGGGGTTTCACCGTGTTAGCCAGGATGGTGTCGATCTCCTGACCTTGTGATCCACCCGTCTCGGCCTCCCAAAGTGCTGGGATTACAGGCTTGAGCCACCGCGCCCGGCCGACCTTATCTCTTAAAAAAAAAAAAAAAAGTAGCCAGGTGTGGTGGTGCACGCCTATAGTCCCAGCTGCTCGGGAAGCTGAGGTGGGAGGATTGCTTGTGCTGGGGAGGTTGAGGCTGCGGTGAGCCATGATCATAGCACTGCACTCCAGTCTGGGCAACAGAGCGAGACTCTGTCTCAAAATAAAAATAGAAATAAAAAATAAAGCCCCAAGAAGCCTGGACTGGTATGTGGGCTCAACTCATGGGGGCAGCACCTGCTTCAATCAGCGGCTGAGTTCAGGAGCCCTGGAGCCCCTGAACCTTAGGGTAGGCACCTTGGACAGCTCCCTCTTCCCCCTTCTTGGTTCCTGTAGGACAAGGGGCTCTCAACGGGGAAGTTGGGGTGTGATTTTGTCTCTTATGGGGCATCTGGCAATGTCTGGAGGCATTTTTTGGTGGGGTAGGGGGAGCTATTGGCATCAAGTGGATCCAGATCAGAAGCGAGACGCTGCCGACCTCCTATGTTGCACAGGACAGTCTGGCCCCAAATGTTAGCCGTGCTGAGGCTTAGGAACCCTGGCCCAGAAGGTGGGTCAGCAGCAGCATGGCAAATCCTGTTTGTGTCTGGGGGATAGGGCAGGGTACGGGCCTGTCTGTCTCCACCAGCCTGGGAAGGGATCTTGGTGCGTACATGTGACTCTTTGGCCACACCGAATGTGGCACTACCCGTTGTTCGGTCCAGGTTTTTGTTGGTGACTTTGCAATTTTCCCTGCGTGTGCATGTGTGTGTGTGTGCGTCCAGCCGTGTGTGATCTGATCACAGGTGACAACATGACCTGATTCTTGGCCCAGTGTGGCCCCTTTGTGCTTGAGGGGATGTGACAGTGTCGCCGTCTTGTTACACGGGTTGTAGCTTTGTGTGCGTCTGACTCAGGGCCTTCCAAAGTGCAAAGTGGGAGGGGAATCGTGGTGTTTGCGCCGGTGGTGTCTGTGTACCCAGTTAGGTTAGCAGGCGTGTGTGTGTGTGTGTGTGTGTGTGGTATGTAGGGATAGAATTGTGTGTGGACTTTGCAGCCATGCGTGGGGCTGTTGATGTCGATAGAACCATGTGGGAACTATTGTATATGATGGGGTGACTCAGGGTGCAGCAGTTGCTTGGCCTGGGACCGACCCTTTTGACTGAATGTGACAATATGAGCGCTCCTGGGACAGATCCTCCTTTCCAGCTGACCTGTTGCTGGGTGCCTGTGCAGAGCTGGGCATGTCAGCGTCACTGTATATATGCACCTGTCCCTCTGAGTGGGTCCACAGCCATGCATGTGACTGAGAGAGTGGGACTGTCTCCTGTGTTTGTATGCGTGTGACTGTATGTGTTTGTGTATGTGTGTGTATGGGTGTAGCTGAAGCTGTTTTGTGTCTGTATGACTGTGTGTGTACCTGTCTGGGTAAGGACATAGCAAGTGTGGGGACTCTTGCTAGGCCTGGAGAGGTCTCTGTGCCTTGTCCAAGCCTCTGTGTGTACGTGTGTGTGTGTGTGCATGCGTGTGCACGCGCGCGTGCGTCCATCATCCATCCCCGAGCTGTCTCCTGTTGTTCCCAGGGCTGTATGTAGCAGTGTTCACTGTGTTTAGCCCAGGGAGGGTGAGCCCCCCTCACCATTCTCTTCAAATCCCAGCAGTAACTCTGGCATGAGGGAGCCCAGGGTGACGGGCTGCAGGGCCCAGCCCCAAGCCTCAGAGCCTGGCCAACCCACTGCACCTGGCTCCGTCCTGGCCCCATCCTGTGGGGCTGCTGATGGAGAGGGCCCCCGGGAGTCCTTGGGGCAGCACGGGCCATTAATTCATTAGATTAATTAGCTCTTCGCCTGGGCTGGGGGCAGGGCAGCCCCGCGCAGGCCCCTCCCGCTCCAGGAGTCCAAGGTCATCTAGCCGGCCTTCCTCCCTCTCTGCCTGGTGCCAGCTCCACCGCCTCCGCATGCCCAGCCCCCACTCCCTGGCCCTGGTCCAGCCCACAGGCCACGGTCTACAGAGAGATGACTGCGTGGGGGTGATGGGGCCTGCCTGCTGTGCTGAAGTGTGCGAGCGGGCATGGGCTCACACCTGCAAGCATGCCCTGACGAGCTTGGGCACACAGTGTGCCTGTGTACATGTGTGTGTCTGTGAAGGTTCGTGTGCGTGAGGGTGTATTTGTGCATCTGTGACGGATGTGTGTCTGAGCATGTACACATGTGGATCTCTGTGTGTACGTGTTCATATTTGTGTGTCTGCATGTCTGTGTACGCATATGTGTTGGGTTATCTACGTGCATGTGGTTTTATGCGTATGTCTTCGGTGCGTTTCTGAGTTAATGTATGTGTGCATCTGTGTGCTTGTGGGCCTGTGTGTAGATATTTGTGTGTATTAATGTATATATGTGTGTTTCTGGGTGTATGCATATATATTATACACTCATCTGTGCATAGGTACATGTGTGTCTGTACGCTGTACCTGTGAATGTTTGTGTGCCCCTGTACATGTGTATTTGTGTGTATACATGTATCTGTGCATATGTATTCTGTGTACTCAAGTATCTGTGTGTCGATGTGCCTATGTACATATGTCTGTGGGTATAGACCGTGTGTGGATGTGTGTACACATCTCTGCATATGTATATGCATCTACGTAATTGTTGGGTTTTTTTTTTTTGAGACCGAGTTTCATTCTTGTTGCTGAGGCTGGAGTGCAGTGGCGTGATGTTGGCTCACTGCAACCTCTGCCTCCTAGGTTCAAGTGATTCTCCTGCCTCAGCCTCCCGAGTAGCTGGGATTACAGGCGCCCGCCACCACGCCCGGCTAATTTTTTGTATTTTTAGTAGAGATGGGGCTTCACCATGTTGGCCAGGCTGGTCTCGAACTCCTGGTCTCAGGTGATCCTCCCGCCTCAGCCTCCCAAAATGCTTAGATTACAGGTGTGAGCCACCTTGCCCAGCCGTATCTATGTAATTGTTAATCTGCTCATATTGGTACGTGTGTCACTGTACTCTGTATCTGTGAATGTATGTGTTCTGTGTACACAGGTATCTGTGTCTGTGTATATGTGTCTGTGTGTATGTCTTATGTGTACAAGTGTCTGCATGTGTTTGCACACGTGTTTCTGTATATATATATGTGTGTGTGTACACATGCATCTGTGTGTATCTGTATGTGTGTGTGTGTGCGCTGCGATTGTCTCTGAATCTCTGGAGGTGTGTAGGTTTCTGTGTCCATGGGCGCCTACCCATCTGAGTCTGTGAGTCCGTGTGGCCTCATGGGAAGATACATGTTGCATGTGTCTGCTCTGATTGTGTCTGCCGTGTGTGTATCTCTGAAAACATCAGTGCATGGGTGTGGCAGCGCGTGCAGGAGATGTCTTTGTCCGCAAGGACATGCGTGTGCACATGTGTGCAGGTGCTACCATGCCCGGGCCCTGCCTGAGCTGCCAAGGCTGAGCCACCCCCACCTTCCACAGGGCTGCTCTCCCAGAGCCTGGAGTTCAACTCTCCTGCCGACAACTACACGGTGTGTGAAGGTGACAACGCCACCCTCAGGTACCTCCCTCGGTGGGTGGGGACTCAGATCTCATGGAGCCATGCAGTCCTGCCCGTTCACCTTCGGAGCTTCACCTTCCTGGGTGGGGATCCTGGTTACAGGAACAGCCTGGGATGGGAAGACTTGGGCCCCACGTTCCCCCTCAGGAGCGACACAACTATGAGCTGGCTCCCCCTTGGCTTCGGTGTCCCCATCTGTCAACGGGGCGGGGAGACGGTGAACTACCGCTGGGTTATTGTGAGGATTCAGGATGCACACACCATGCTTAGAGAGCGTGACATACTACGACTGCTTAAAACACGACAGCCAGGGTTGCTGTTTCCCCAGGTCGTCACCTCTCCTCTGGTCTCTGTTCCCCCTCTCTCCACGTCTCTTTCTCTCTCTCTGTCTCTGGGTCTCTGTTCCCCTCTCTTTCTGGGTCTCTGTCCCCCTCTGTCTCTGGGTCTCTGTCCCCCTCTCTCTGGGTCTCTGTCTCTTTCTCTCTGGGTCTCTGCCTCTCTCTCTGTGTGTGTGTCTCTGTCCCCCTCTCTCTGGGTCTCTGTAGCTCTCTCTCTCTCTCTGTCTCTCTCTGGGTCTCTGTAGGTCTCTCTCTGGGTCTCTGTAGGTCTCTCTCTGGGTCTCTGTAGGTCTCTCTCTGGGGTTCTCTGTCTCTCTCTCTCTGTCTTTCTCTCTCTCTGGGTCTCTGTCCCTCTCTGTGTGTGTGTGTCTCTGTCCTTCTCTCTCTGGGTCTCTGTCCCTCTCGCTGGATCTCTGTCCCCCTCTCTGGGTCTCTGTCCCTCTCTCTGGGTCTCTTTCTTCTTCCTTCTGCATCTCTATTCCTCTCTCCCAGATTCTCTGTTCTCCCCTTTTTGTGTCTCTGACACACACGAGCATTCAATGACCATGAGCTATTGTTCCGTTCTGCGATTGGGCTCACAGCTTTCCCTCCCTGAGGCTCAGCTTATCCCCAGCTGTGGTGGGCACAGCAGCATCCACCTCACAGGGCTGTGGTGGGACCTGGAGATGCGGTGGCCTCCCTCTCCCACCCACCCCCTCGGTGGGGAAAGGCTCAGGCTGGGTGGGTGGAGAAAAACCTTCCCACTCTCTTGCTCCCTGCAGCTGCTTCATCGATGAGCATGTGACCCGCGTGGCCTGGCTGAACCGCTCCAACATCCTGTATGCCGGCAACGACCGCTGGACCAGCGACCCGCGGGTGCGGCTGCTCATAAACACCCCCGAGGAGTTCTCTATCCTCATCACCGAAGTGGGGCTCGGCGACGAGGGCCTCTACACCTGCTCCTTCCAGACCCGCCACCAGCCGTACACCACTCAGGTCTACCTCATTGTCCACGGTGAGCCCTCAGCCGGGGCCTGGCTGGGTGGACGGGTAGAGAGCGTGGGGGAGACGAGGCATGATGACAGATACCACGTGTTCCCCAACCCCAGGGATACATAGCGAGAACGATGGACACAGCCTTGCCCTTGGGGATTTCAGCCCAGCAGAAGGGGGCCAGTCACACAGAGAGTGACACATCAGCAGGATCGCTTCTAGGGCAGGAGAGCTACAGGGATGAGGGAGTGCTTGGGGGAAGACCACGTTCATTTGCTCAGCCCCATTCCTGGAGTGCCTACTCTGCAAGCATTGATCTAGGCACTGGGGCTACAGAATAAGGCAGGCTGTCCCCACACCTTGGGAGCTGATTTTCTAAGGAGAGGCTCAGAGAGGACTTCCCAGACATGACGTCTGAGCGGACGCCTTTGGCTGGGCACAGGGCTAAGACCGGAAAAGAAACAGTGTGTTCAGGGCCAGGCGAGAAAATGAACCAAGTGTGCAGAGGGAAGTCCCAAGAGGCTGGAAGTGCCAGATCCAGAGCAGGAAAGATGGGGCTGGAGAGCTCCACAGCAAGGCAGGAGGCAGAGGGAGAGACGCGGAGAGCAGTCAGGAGCCTGCCTCCTGAGCCATCCGAAATGGTGGAGGGCAGGGAACACCTGCAGAGACGGGAACTGGAGACGGAGAGAACCCAGGGGGATCCTGGCAAGCTCCAACTCTGGAGCCAGACTGCCTGGGTTCCAACCTCAGTGCCACCGTCCACTAGCCCAGGGACCCTGAGCAGGAGGAGAGGCCTGGGACTCCTCCTTTGCAAAATGGGGATGGTGCTGTCATAAATCCCAGACGTCGTCAATCGGAAGAGCTACTTTTATTTTATGCCCTGCTAGAAAAGAAAAAAAAAAAAAAACACTGCCAGTGATACCCTGGCATCCTATCTCTAGGGCCATCGTGCTTGGAGAAATGTTCAAATGGGAGAGGGGGGCAGAAAGCACAGATATGTCTTAGAATTGATGAAATACAGTAACATCTACCCCAGAGGCTGGTAGTGAGCATCTGATCAGTGGATTTTGGTAAAGCACTTAGAATAGAATCTGTTACACAGAAAGTCCCATGTGGGTATTTGTTAAATAAATTAATTTAAAATAATAATAAATACAAATAGAGAAAGGGAGAGGAATTCAGACCCCAAGATGGAGAAACCAAGTTAGGATGAAGGTGGAGAGAGAATAGAGACAAGACCAGCAATTAGACAAGAAGATGCCAGGCCCAGACAGAGGGTCCAGAGAAAGGGGCAGAGACTCCTGGGTCTGAGGGAGGAGGGGCTGGGGGACTGGACTCTTGGGTCTGAGGGAAGAGGAACTGGGGGTCTGAACTCCTGGGCCTGAGGGAGGAGGAGCTCCGGGTCTGGACTCCTGGGTCTGAGTGGGAAAGAGCTGGGGGTCTGGACTCTTGGGTCTGAGGGAGGAGGGCCTGGAGGCCTGGATTCCTGGGCATCCATATTCAGCCTCTCCCCCTGCCCACAGTCCCTGCCCGCATTGTGAACATCTCGTCGCCTGTGACGGTGAATGAGGGGGGCAGTGTGAACCTGCTTTGCCTGGCCGTCGGGCGGCCAGAGCCCACGGTCACCTGGAGACAGCTCCGAGGTGAGGATCCCATCCCAGGTCAAAAGCCCCGTCCCCCACTGCGCAGTCTGGGCCCCTCCTTTCCCCATATCCCTAGCTAGTTTCCCAAGCCCCCTTCTCTCTGGCCCCTTGGCTTCCCCTCCCACCCTGCTTCCAGTTATTTCATCCGCAGACCCTAGACCGAAGAGCTTCACCACTGGCTTTCCACCTGCCATCCTAGGCCTGGGTCACTGCTTCTGCGTCACTTGCCAAACCCCAGCCTGCTCCACTTCCCCAACCCCAGTGTCCCAGACGTCTCCCCACGCGTTCACAGCATTCTCCTGGGCTAAGATCCCCTGCTGCTAGATGCCCTAAGCCAGGCTGCACCAGCAGTCCTGTGTACATCTCTGCCTTTCTTCTGCTGGACACTCTAGCCCAGCGGGCCTCATGGTGTGGACCCCAGACACGAAGCATCAGCATCCCTTGGGAACTTGCCAGGAATGAACTTTCCCAGGCTCCATCCAAGACCTGCTGAATCCAAAACTCCCTCCCCCCTCCACAAGCCCCAAGAACCAGTGCTCAAGGCTACCCACAAACAGCGCAGGGTGCCCGTATATGACAGTCCAGGTCCTAGACATCACCCACCAGCCCTTTTATGTGGATCTCTACCACCAGATCCCAGATCCCTGGATCCTCATTCTCAGGGTCTTTGAAGACCCATGGTGCCAATCACTAGATCCCGTGACCATTCTGAATCCCTGGATCTTACCCGACTGGGTCATCTGAGCCCCATGATCCTGGTCTTGAGATCTGGGATCTCCGGGTGTCCTAAGTCCCAAAGGGTCTTCTGAGACTGCTGCTGTGTTATGAGACCCCCATATACTTGGATTGCTGATCCCAATCACCAGATCCTGATTCCCCAGACCCCATGAACCAGATCCCAGAACGAGGGACCCTGCCCCACTGGCTCTGAATTTGCGAGGTCCTTCTGAGACCTAACATCCTGGGATCCCCCTCCCCATTGGGGTCCTCCGCACGGAGCCCCACGATCTGAGTCAGATTCCTAGAGGGATCTCCCAAACCCTTAGATTCTCTAACCCACCCCATTGGGTTCCAGGAACTGAGTCCTAGACCCTCACTCCTTCCCCAACCCTGAACTGGAGAGATCCCAGGCACCCCCGGCCCCGCAGCCCCTCCCCACCCCACCCCCATTGACCCGGGCACTCCAGGCCTTGCCGTGCCCGCCCCGCTGATGTGTGTCCGTGTTGTGCCCGTGTTGTCCCGTGTTAAGTGTTTGTGTCCGGCCCCGCCCCCTCCTCCTCCTTCCCCCCACAGATGGCTTCACCTCGGAGGGAGAGATCCTGGAGATCTCTGACATCCAGCGGGGCCAGGCCGGGGAGTATGAGTGCGTGACTCACAACGGGGTTAACTCGGCGCCCGACAGCCGCCGCGTGCTGGTCACAGTCAACTGTGAGCCCCCCTGGCACTGGGCACGAAAGCGTGGCGGACCCCGAGTCCCTGGGGAGGAAGGGTCTGCGGGAGGAGGAAGCGGGGGCGAGACTTCCGGGCCTAAGGGAGGCGGGGGCTGGGGGAGGGACCCCTTCGTCCCCACGCAGCTTGGAGAATTCGCTGACCCTCGCCCCTCGCCAGATCCTCCGACCATCACGGACGTGACCAGCGCCCGCACCGCTCTGGGCCGAGCCGCCCTGCTGCGCTGCGAAGCCATGGCGGTGCCCCCCGCGGATTTCCAGTGGTACAAGGATGACAGACTGTGAGGACAGCACTGAGGGGGGCCGTGGGAGCGGGACGGGGAGGTCCTTGGTCCCTTGGATTGTGAGGCAGGGGGACGGAGCCGGGCGGGGGAAGGCAGCAGAGCTCTGGGTCCCGGAACTGGGGCGTCCAGCTTCTGGGTGATGGGATCTGTCCAGCCTCCGGAAACAAGCTTGGGCTCCAGGATGATGAACGCTGGAGCCCCGTCTCCCTGGACTTTTCAGGGAGCTGGCCAGGGGTCGGGGGTCAATGCTGAGGATCTCTCGGGCAAGGTTTAGGGGACCAGCAGAGGGAGTCCCTAACGACTAGGGGTGCACCACGGGGGAGTCCAGGGTCCCTGAAAGGTCAGGGTGGCTGGAGAAGGGCGGCGGTGGGAGTGACCCGGGGTCCATGAGGTGCTAGAACCCCAGGCGATGGGTCAGTGGGGTAGGGGGCAGAATGCTGGGTCTCCGGGGAACGGAGGCGCCTGAGAGTCGGCGGGCGGGCCTGGCTGGGCGCTGCGACCCGGCCCCTTACCCAGATCCCTGGCAGGCTGAGCAGCGGCACGGCGGAGGGCCTGAAGGTGCAGACGGAGCGCACCCGCTCGATGCTTCTCTTTGCCAACGTGAGCGCCCGGCATTACGGCAACTACACGTGTCGCGCCGCCAACCGGCTGGGAGCGTCCAGCGCCTCCATGCGGCTCCTGCGTGCGTCTTCGGGCTGGGCGGGGAGGGGCGGGGCACGTGGGCGGGGCAGGGGCGGGGCTAGGGAGGTGGAGACGCCGGGACCGCCCCTCAGGCTGGCCCTGAACTTCGGAGACGGACGCCAAGACTGAAAAGCGATGCAAGAAACCGATTCATGCAATCAATATTCATTGAGCGCCAGCTAAGGGTTGGGCGTGGGGCACATAGCTGTGCACAAAAGAAACAAGGTTTGGGGATTCCCAGAGCTTATAGTCTGGTAGGAGTAGAAAAGCAATAAACAAGTGGACATGTAGATAAACAAGCAAACACATACAAACAAAAAATAATTTTGGAGGCCGGGCGCGGTGGCTCACGCCTGTAAATCCCAGCACTTTGGGAGGCTGAGGCGGGCGGATCACCTGAAGTCAGGAATTCGAGACCAGCCTGGCCAACGTGGTGAAACCATGTCTCTACTAAAAAAAAAAGAAAAATAATAATACAAAAATTAGCCAGGCGTAGTGATGGGCACCTGTAGTCCTAGCTATTCAGGTCAGGATGCTGAGGCAAGAGGATTGCTTGAACCTGGGGGGAGGCAGAGGTTACGGTGAGCCGAGATTGCGCCTGGGTGACAGCGAGACTCCGTCTCAAAAAAAAAAAACAAAAAAACAGAGTCAGAAAAGCAGGGAAGCAGGCACACCCAATGAGAGATCCAGAAAGGTCCCTAAAGAGGTGGGCTCAGAAGAGACAGGGCTTCTGGAGGGACACACATGGGGTCCCCCACTCTCAGCCCTCCCTTCATGACCCCTTCTCTTCCCCCAGGCCCAGGATCCCTGGAGAACTCAGCCCCGAGGCCCCCAGGGCCCCTGGCCCTCCTCTCCGCCCTGGGCTGGCTGTGGTGGAGAATGTAGGCGCAACCCAGTGGAGCTCGCCTCCCCCTGCAGGGGGCCTCAGGCCAAGAGTGAGAGAAAAGGGGGAGCAAGAGCCGTGGGTCTCGTGGGGGCAGAAGAGCTCTCGGCCACCAAGGAAGAAGAGAAGAGGAGAAAGAGGAGGAGGCAGAGGAAGAAAGATCTTTAGAGAACCCATCACTGTGAGGGATAACGCAAAATTATGCATCTTTCTACAGCCATTCTCGCTACCCGTTCACGTTTCCGATTGTGACCCACTCCCGCCACCCCATACCCCTCTCTCTTAGCTCAGGCTGTCAACTGGCTCGTGTGGGTGTGGGTGTGTGAGTGTGAGCCTGCATGCGTGTGTAGGTGTCTGTGTCTCTGTGTGTGTGGGTGGGTGGGCTGGAGGAGGGGACTCAACCGTCCTCCCCGCCCCGAAACCCCCATGTCCACTGTCCCCAACCCTACTGCCTCTCACCTCTGACTGGAGGTAGGTATGAGGCTCTGCAGTGGAAGCTGTGAAGAGAGGCTTACCAGGCTCCCTGCTTCCCCAATATATGCACGCACACTGACCCCTCCCCCTGTCGAAAGGGCAACTCCTGGCAGGTTGGGAGTGGAGAGGGGTGTCGCACTCACCTGTCAAGCTGTCATTCAGCCTTTGTGAGTAAGTGGGGGACCTCCATCTGGGCTCTGGGCTTCCCTGCCGTCAACCACCAGCTTCCTGTAGCCAGAGGCCCCATCGCTGGCTCAGTGGCCTGAGACCTTCCCACTTTTCCTGTCCCTCCCTACCTTGGATTTTCTGGCCCCCTCCTGGGCCAATCGGTGCTTCCATCCAACTGTCAGACTGGTGGCAGGAGTCACTTGTCTGTTTCAGTGCTTTGCCCTACCCCTGCCACCACTCCCCTTGGCCTTGATTTCCCCACCTGTGGCACCAGCCAGCTGCCCTTGGGGCCTTTGCAGCTGGCCCACAGGTGTAGGCTTGCTGGTCTATCACTTCCTGGCCTCTCCACCAACTGTACCTCCCAAAGGCTACCTGACCGCCCTCACACACTCAGACACACCACACACACACACACACACACACACACACACACACACACACACCCCAGCGACTGTGACCAGCAATAGCCCCCTGGCTGCAGCTGTCCTGTAGCTGGTGACTAGCTGTATTTCCCCCTGGGTAGGCATCTGTTGTCAGGAAGGGACGCTGAGAGGCTGCAGCCTCAGCTCTGATTGCAGGAATACTCCACCCTGATACACCACACCACACAAAGTGGGGGACAGAGAGGTATCACACAGACACCCTGAGCCCAGACAAAGATGCCATGTCACCAATTCCGACTCCCAGGAGACCCTCTCTATAAACCCCCACCCCAAACCACACCACCCCAGAGTCTGGTGGAGAAGAGGAGAGGGCAAGGCGCAGTGACTGTACCTCAGACGGGGGCATGGGCCCCATCCCACATTGTCTTCCATTCCCAGGGTCCAGGGGATGGGGTGGGACGGGGGAGGGATACCAGGGAGGGGGTGGGGGGCCCTGGGGGCCGTGTGTTCCAATTCATGGGGAGTGTTGAGACCACCGCACCAATAAACGCCTTTTTCCACAGTCTGCCTGCAGGTGTCAATGTCATTAAGAATTCGAGTTAATGAAGGGCAAAGGGTAGCAATCAACTGGTGGTGCCTCTCCAGCATCATTCCTACCACCTGCTTTCTCATTGGTAGACTTGGAATGGACTCATTACAGAGGTGCCCTGTGATTGGCCTAAGCCACTCAGCATAGCCCATTTCGTGATTGGCTTGGAGATGGGCACGTGACCTGGTAAGGCTAATGAGAGAGTGAATGGATTCCCAAGAAGAGATGCTTTTCTGCTGGATATTGTGGCTCCGTGATGTGAGGTCTACATCTGTAGGGTTGCTTTTCTCCATCACATGGAGAGATCTTGGGTCTGTGAGGATAGCAGTGGTGGGGAGGGCTGCATATGGAGCCTGAGAATGATAGGAACACTGTGAAGTGCAGAGTGGAAACCTTAGAGAAACTGAGTCCATGATGATATCATTTGAGTAGCTGGATCAAAACTTAACTGATGCCCATCTTCACTTGTATAAGCAATAAAGTCCCCTGTATATTTAAACCAATTTGCATTGGATTTTCTATCTCTAGTAATAAAAAAGAACGCAAACCCTGATAGATACAGAAAAGACATAGAGGGCCCAGAACCCCAACCCTCACCTTTCCAAAAGGATCCAGGGGTTCTATTTTCCAGTGGCCTTTTCTACCCCCCATCATGAACCAGAAGTTCTCTCACATGCTTTCCTTCCCTGAGACAGATGCTGGTTACCCACATTTGTTTGGTTCCCCTTTCTTCTTTGCTGGAAGATCCACCTGTTATGATACAGGCTAGATATTTGGTTTCTCAGCCTCCTTTGCAACTAAGTGGCCAGTTTGGGCCAAAGAGACATAAATGGAAATTTGCTTGTAGGTTTCCAGGAAAGCTTCCCTCCCACCCCATGAGAGGGAAGAAGGCAGTGATAGAGGGAGGTAGGGGGTGGGGAAGATGTATAGAGAGGAAGTTCTGTCCCCTTCCTTTTATCTTTGGATACAGTTGTATGAAGATGCGATGACTGGAGCTGCAGCAACCATCTTGCTACATGAGGCAACATGCTTAGTGTCAATGTGCCAACCCACTGAGGGTGGCAGAGCAGATGGATGCAAAGGGCCCATGTTTCAATGGCATCACTGAGCTGCTAAGCCAGCCTGAAACCAGCCACCTTCATATTTCCTGGCACCATTTTATTTTGTTACTCGCAGTCAAAAGAATCCTCACCAATGCACTCTCTAAATTCTCAATTAGAAACCCAGCTGAAAAAGCAAGACTTATGCTGAAGACAGCAGCGGCAAGCCCAGCTCTTCACCGGCACCAAAACATCGGATCAGTCAACAAGTATTTATTGATTGCCTGCTGCGTGCCAGGCTCTGGGTTAAGTGCTGAGATAATGATGTGGTCTCTGCTTTGGTAAAGCCCTTAGTTTAGACAGAGAGTCTCAGGCCACACAAGTAATTACATATTTATGTATCAGAAACGGCAAATTCAAGGATTCTGGGACTTAACCCAAGACTAAGGGAGGGGTAAGGGAATGGTTGTCTAAGAGGGCAATTGTTACTCTTAGACTTGAGAAATGAATGACATGGGAAAAAGAAGTGTTACCAGCAGAGCAAACTCTAGGGGCAAAATAAATTGTGGCTGAGAGACAGCCTGTGATACTGGAGTCAGGGGACAGAGAAACAATTGGGAGGGGAGGTCAGGGAGGCCAACAGAGGCCAGACCACAAGGTCTTTGAAGGTCATGACGAGGAGTTTGGATAATATCTGAAGGGAAATGCACAGGCCCTAGAAGGGTTTAAAGAGAAGAGGGACATGATCTGATCTGTTTGAAGATGAAGATGCTGGGAGCTGCATGGGGTGTGGCCTACAGGTGGCAAAGTGAATGTAGGGGGACGTTTTCAGAGAGCATGGCCAGGCTCCCTCTCTAGCTCAGAGCAACACAACAAGCCCTGCTTGTCTGCTGCAGAGGCTTGGAGGTTGTGCAAACCACACAGTTCTATCAGCAGGAGTTTCCCAGCCAAGAAGTCACATCTCCTTACTTGCACAAATACAGGAAGACTCTTCCTCTGCAGCAAAAGAGGGAGACAGAAAGTCCCACTTTCAGGGTCCAACCCTCAGTCATAGCAGGCCCTGCCTGCTGCTGGAGTGAAATTGGAAGTTCTGGCCCAAAATGCCCTGTGTAGGGCAGGCCACTGGCTCTGATCACACCTGTGTGGCTGTCCGAACAGTCTTTGAGCTTTCGTCTACAGAGACGACTGGACTGGGGTCTGTGGCCTGGAAGAGAGAGGTGGGGTGCGGGGAGAACTCAGTAGTACCCTGGATGTAACATGACTCACCCACCGAACTTTTTCCAGCTCTTGCTTGAACTTTTTAGAGATTATCTGGGAACCCTCCATTTGGAGAGGGGAAAAAAAAATGTCTGGCTATCGGTGGAGTGAAGACAGCCAACAACCCAACCCAGTTTTGTTTTTTTTTTAAAACGGGTCTCACTCTGTCATCCAGGCTGGACTGCAGGCTGGAGTGCATCCAGCCTAGAGCTCACTGAAGCCTCGACCTCCCAGGCCCAAGCAATCCTCCCACTTCAGCCTCCCTAGTAGCTGGGACTACAGGCACATGCCACTATGCCAGACTAATTTTAAAATTTTTTGTAGAGATGGGGTATCCCTATGTTGCCCAAGCTGGTATCGAACTCCTGGGCTCAGGCGATTTTTTCTCTTCAATGTCCCGAAGTGCTGGGATTACAGGCATGAGCTACCACGCCCCGTCACAGCAACCCCTCTTTTATGGGGAAACGAGGAAACTCCACCCCACTTCATAGAGAAAAATGGGTCTTGCCTAACTTTTATGGAAAAGAAAAAAGGAGGGGCCAGGCATAGTGGCTCATGCCTGTAACCCCAGGACTTTGGGAGGCTAAGGTGGGCGGATCACTTGAGGTTAGGAGTTTGGGACCAGCCTGCCTAACATGGTGAAACCCTGTCTCTACTAAAAATACAAAAATTAGTCAGGCATGGTGGCTTGTGCCTGTAATCCCAGCTACTCAGGTGGCTGAGGCAGGAAAATCTCTTGAACCTAGGAGGCGGAGGCTGCAGTGAGTCGAGATGGCGCCACTGCACTCCAGCCTAGACAACAGAGTGAGACTCTGTCTCAAAAAAAAAAAAAAAAAGAAAGAAAGATCCGATCTCATCCTCCTTTGTAAGAGAAACTGAAATTCACTCTTTCACTCTAATTTTAATATACATCAAAGTTAGGCGGGAAGCTCTGTCCAACTTTGATGCATTTTTAAAAAGGATGAAGTTATACAGACTGTAAACTAACAAGTAAAACTGGAGTTAGATAATGGAGACCCTCTCATCTCCCTGACTATAATACAAGAAGTTCCGCCCCGATTCCAGGAGGAAAAGAGGGCACCCACACTCACTTGGTAGGCCCTAGTTGAGCTGTGGTCCTCCAGCGGGACTTTGAGGTCCAGAGGCCATGAAATCTCCACTGGGGTCACACTGTGCATCTTCTTTTCTGAGGGGGTGGCCACGGGGACCAAGGTAGAAGGATGCTTCTTTTTCTCAGGAGTCTTTCCTGATTGAGAGGAGGAAGAGAAGCAGGAACACCTGATTAGTTGCCCCAACATGCCAACCCAGCCAATAGCAAGGGAAGCTGGTGTGAGAGGCGGAGCCTTATGCTGATTGGCAGGATGGATGACCTATGATGGTGCTGATTGGCTCAGTCAGGTCTTCCACCGGCTTTTTTCTAGGGTCCCTCCCACTTGGCCATGTTTGCCCCTTCCCCAGTCCCCTTGCTCACCACGAAAGCGGCACAGGCAGCAGATGCAAAGGAGGAGAAGGACGGCTAGCAGCGCCAGGCCCAGTAGGGAGCCCAGGACGATGCCGGCGATGGCCCCGTGGCTCAACGTGGGGCCTGGAAGAGACAAAGAGAAGAAAGAGAAGGGGAACAGGAACTAAGGTTGGACCCAAGTTTCCTAAGCCCCCTAACTTTGTGCTGGGACCCAGGAGTCCAGCCCCCACTGTCCCTCCCCTCCCAGAACCCAGGAATGTGGGACCCCAGCACTCTCAACTCATTTAACAGTTACTACGGTTAACTACCTCGGACAGGTAGTGAGGATTCACTGGTGGGCCAAACAGGAAAGATACCTACCCTTGTGGGCTTAATTCTAGGAGAGAAGTCAGAAATAAATGAGCAGTACGTAACATAATCACAGATTGTCCCGAGAAAGAAAAAGTTATGTGATAGAGATAATGAGGGTCAGGTGTGGTGGCTCACACCTGTGATTCCCAACACCTTGGGAGGTCAAGGTGGGCAATCACTTGAGTCCAGGAGTTGGAGACCAGCCTGGCCAACATGGCGAGACCCTGTCTCTACAAAACATAGAAAAACCAGTCAGGTGCGGTGGCTGGGCCTGTAGCCCCAGCTACTCAGAAGACTGAGGTAAGAAGATCACCTGAGTCTGGGGAGGTTGAGGCTGCAGTGAGCCCAGATCGTGCCACTGTACTCCAGCCTGGGCAACAAAGTGAGGCCTTGTCTCAAAAAAAGAAAACAAACAAAGAAAAAACAAAAAAGGAATAATGGGAAGGGATGTGACATTTAGAAACAGTGGTGAGCTAAGGTCCCTGAGGAAGTAACATTTGAACAGAGACTTGAAGAATAAAGACCAGAGGCAGTCATACTAAACACGGGAAAGGGTGTTCCAAGAGGAGGGAACAGAAAATGCAAAGGTCCAGAACTAGGAAAGAGTTTTCTCTGTTCAACAAAGGCCAGCGTGGGTGGAGGATATGGAAGGAGAGAGCTGGAGGTGGAGGGTGAAGTAGAAAAGGTTTCCAGGAACCAGATCCTAAAGGGGTCCCGCAGAAATTAATGGAAGGCTTTTATGTAGGGCAGCCTCATGATCTGATTTGCATAACTCTGGCTTCTACATGGAGAATGCATTATCTGAGAGCAAGAGGGAGTATAAAGATACCAAATAAACATCTGTTGCAGTCCAGGCAAGAAAGGATGCTGTGTTTGACCAGAGCCTTGGGATGAAGATGGAAAATATTTTAGACGGAAAATGGACCGAACTTGCTGGCGATTAGGATGTCAGGAGTGATGCGGCCTGTAAGTAGTGACATTTATGAGTATGGGGAAGACTGGAGGGTTGGGGGATGCAGTTTTGAGGGAAAACATCAAAAGATCTGTTTTGGGCATATGACATTTGGAATGCTAATTGGACATCCAAAGTGAAGATCTTGGCTGGGCTCAGTGGCTCACACCTGTAATCCCAGCACGTTGGGAGACTGAGGCAGGCAGATCACTTGAGGTCAGGAGCTCAAGACCAGCCTGGCCAACATGGCAAAACCCTGTCTCTACTAAAAATTCAAAAAAAGTTATCTGGGCATGGTGGCTCACACCTGTAATCCCAGCTACTCAGGAGGCTGAGGTAGGAGAATCACTTGAACCCAGGAGGTGGAGATTCCAGTGAGCTGAGATCATGCCACTGTACTCTACTCTGTCTCACCACCCCACCCCGCCAAAAAAAAGTGAAGATCTTAAGTAGGGAGCATCCTTTTCAAGAGAGAAGTCAGGGTCCAGGATAGGACATTTGGTAGTCATCTGAGTATTAATGTTATTGAAGGCCATGAGCGTGAACTTGATCACTTTGGGGAGTGAGGACTAAATCCTGAGACACTCCAATGGAAGAATGTTATCAAGTGAATTGTGCCCACCCCAAAAGAAAAACATATATTGAAGTCTTAGCCCCTGTTCCTGTGAGTATGACTTTATTTTGGAATAAGTTCTCTGAAGATGTAACCAAGTCAGTATGAGGTCATTAGGGTGAACCCTAATCCAATATAACTGGTGTCCTTAAAAGAAGAGGACAGAAGCCAGGTGCCGTGGCTCACGCCTCTAATCCTAGCACTTTGGGAAGCCAAGGTGTGTGGGTCACCTGAGGTCGGGAGTTTGAGGCCAGCCTGACCAATGTGGTGAAACCCATCTCTACTAATAATACAAAAATTAGCTGGGCGTCGTGGCACATGCCTGTAATCCTAGCTACCCAGGAGGCTGAGGCAGGAGAATCACTTGAATCCGGGAGGTGGAGGTTGTAGCGAGCTGAGATCATACCATTGCACTCCAGCCTGGGCAACAAGAGCGAAACTCCATCTCAAAAAAAAAAAAAGAAGAAGAAGAGGACAGAGACACACAGAGGCAGAGGTTGGAGTGACACAGCTGCAAGCCAAGGAATGCCAAGGATGAAACAGCTGCCACCGGGAGCTAGGAAGAGACAAAGGAGGATTCTACACAGGGTCCCAGAGGGAGTAGGACCGTCTCAACACCTTGATTTTAGACTTCTGACCTCCAGATCTGTGAGAGAAGAAATTCCCGTTGTTTCAAGCCATGCAGTTCATGGTACTTTGTTAGGGCAGGTCCCAGGACACTAAAACAGGGAGAGAGGGAGGATCTGGCACAACAGACTGAGAAGGTCTACTCGGACAGCCCCAACTCACCGGCCTGGTAGACCCGGCTTTGTGATGGAGTCCCTGGCTGGCCCCCCAGGATGGGCAGGATCCGAAAGGTCCAGATCCCTGGGTTCCGAGGTGGAAGGGGCACCACAGCTGACCGCTCCTGAGGCCCCAGGATGAGCAGGGAGACCCAGTCCTTGTAGGTGGAAGTCCTGCCCAGATCAGGCCCATCTGGCCATGCCTGGATCTCAAAACTGCTGATTAGGGCCCCGCGCTCCACATCCCAAGTCAGCACGGCTGCATCTCTGGCTCTCTGAAGCCTCCACGAGGATATGGAGGGTCCTAGAGGTATGTAGGAGAGGCTGGATTCTTGGGTGCCAGAGGGGAGAGGGAAGGGGGCTAGGGGACTGGGCTTCTGGGTCTGAGGGAGGAGGGGGCTGGGGGCCTGGACTCCTGGATCTGAGGGTGGAAGTGGCTGGTGACCTGGACTCATGGGTCTGGGGGAAGAGGGGCTGGGGCTGGACCCTTGGGTCTGAGGGAAGAGGGGCTGGGGCTGGACCCTTGGGTCTGAGGGAGGAGGGGCTGGGGCCTGGACTCCTGGGTCTGAACCAGGAGGGGCTGGGCCTGGACTTCTGGGTCTGAGGGAGGAGGGGCTGGGGCCTGGACTCCAGGGTCTGAAGCAGGAGGGGCTGGGTCTGGACTCCTGGGTCTGAAACAGGAGGGGCTGGGGTCTGACTCCGGTCTGAGGAGGAGGGCGGGGCTGGACTCCGGTCTGAAACAGGAGGGCGGTCTGGACTCCTGGGTCTGAGGGAGGAGGGGCTGGGGTCTGGACTCCAGGGAGGAGGGGCTGGGGGCCTGGATCCTAGGTCTGAGGAAGGAGACGTCTGGGGCCTGAACTTCCAGATCTGAGGGCTGGAGGGGCTGGGGGCCTGGACTTCCGGGCTTTCTGAAATAATGTGGCTCACCAATGAGAGTGATCTGGTCACCGCCAGCTCCCAACGCCCCACTGCACAGCACGGAGTAATTTCCCAGGTCCCAATCCAGGCTGAAGTTGCCGATGTGGAGCTTCCGCCCATCTTGACTGAGCCGCAGGCGACTCCCGCCTCCTGGAGCCAGGGGCCGCCCTTCCCGGGCCCAGGATGCCCGTGAGGGTGGGGGACAACCAGAGGCCTCCAGTGCCACCTCTGCCTCCCCCAACCGTGTCTCTGCCACCAGCGGATGCAGCAGCACCTCTCGGGGGGCCTCTGCAGGTGGGAGAAGCCCAGTTAAGAAAGTCGAGACCTTACCTTGGATTCAAAGAACAGGTCCTATGCCCTACTTTAAATCAGATGGTGGTAAGCCCCGGCGCTTTGGCCACCTGGGAAAGAACTGCCAGTTTACTCACTCATTCGCTCATTCATTCATTCATTCATTCATTCATTTATTATCTGATTTCCTCATCAAACACTTATTGAACACATACCATAGGAGCAGGCCCTGTACTGGGAAACTCATATTATTCTCAGCTATTCATTCTTCTTTATTAGAATAATAATAATTATTATTATGTAGCAATAATAATTGTAAGACTGGGTCTTGCCACACTGCCCAGGCTGGTCTTGAACTTCTAGGCCCAAGCAATCCTTCCGCCCCCAACTACCGAAGTGCTGCGATTACTGCGCCCGACCTCGTTACTCTTTAAAACATCACTGCTTTATCTTACTGAACACGTGGGAAAGTGATGGCCTTCTTCCTGTGTCCAAAAAATACCCCCATCCCTGCACGCCCTCACCATGAGGTATAGGGAAATCTTTGTCCCTTTTCTCGTTTGAAGACAGTGAAGTCCTGCCTCTTTCTTGGACTAAGGACGTACCCCAAACCCCTTCAGAATTTTCGAAAGAAAAAGTCTCCCTCCTCCTGAGAAACAGCAAAAAAGCCCCGCGCCGTCTCACCCGGCGTGACTATGCAGGTACGCGTGGCCACCAGGTGGCGAGCAAGGCAGGTGATGGGGACGCCACTGAGCCGGGGGTGGGCGGGGATGGCAGCCAGCAGCACAGAGGACACTGGCCCCGCGCGGATGCCTTCGGGGAGACCCTGGAACTGCAGGGAGGCGGCAGGGACCCCGCCGGGCCACGAGCAGCGGAAGCGGAGGCTGCGGTCCCCGGGACCCCCTTCAACTGAGCACTGTGGGGCCCCGGGGGGCAGGTCTGCGGAGAGAAGGCGGAGAATGAAGACGTAGTCCCTCTCTCATTTCTTCTCCAGCCCCGCCTCTCTGCGCAGTAACTCTCTTCTTCCCTAGCCCCGCCCCATAGGCGCTCACACTCCCCACTTTTCCTGAGATCCCGTTCCCAACTTCCCCGCTAAGTGGGTAGCCGGCAGCCCTGATGACTGCCCAGCTTTCTTAAGAAAACTGCATCTTCACACAATGATATTTCTCTTCCCAAACGTAACTCATCCCCTTCCTTTCCAGCTCCACCACTTCTGCCAGGTTACTTCGCCCCCTCCTGGATTGCCCTCCGAGAAGCCTCCCCTTTTCCCAGATATCTCCGCTCTTCCTTGCGGACCCCATCCCCTTTCTAAGATAATTCTGCCCGCTTTCCAAATGACCTCGCCCCTTTCCCTGGTGACTCCACCTCCTTCCCAGGTACCTTCTCCGTTTGCTGATCCCACTTACCCGCCCAAGCAACTTAGTTCTTTCCCTTTCTAACTCCCACTCTTTGCCATTTAACTCCGCTGTCGACTTTGTTGAGAGTGTTCCATGCCCCGGAATGTCCGCCTTCTCAGTGCTGGGCCGGCTCGTCAGTCCTGGTCAGCCCTGCCACTCCATTTGGCTCCTTCCCTTGTCCTCTTTCTGGCTCCGCCTCTTATCCTAGGTATCCCAGCCCCTCCGCGCTGGCCCCGCCCCACCACGGGTATACCAGCTCCTTTTTGGTGATCCAGCTTTCCCGCTGGCCCCGCCCCCCTCCGGTATCGTGCTCCTCCTCCCTGGCCCCGCCCCTTATCCTAGGTATCTCCGCCCCTCCTCGCTGGCCCCGCCCACCACAGGTATCCCGGCTCCTTCTTGGTGACCCCGCCCCCCCGCTGGCCCTGCCCCACCCACCGGTATGCCGCGCCTCCTTGCTGGCCCCGCCCCTTTCACCTAGTCCCGCCCCTGTTCTGGCCCCGCCCCTCTCCCAGGCATTTCCCCACTCCCGCACCGGCCTCTCACCGGCCACAGTGAGGTTGAGCAGCGAGCGGCGGCGGCGGCTGGTGCGCGGGTTCGCTGCCAGGCAGGCGTAGGTGCCTGCGTGGCCCGGCCCGACCGCGGGCAGCAGGAGGCGCGGCCCCGCGGGCACCGCGGCCTCGGCCGGGTCCGCCAGGCTCCACGCGATGTCGGCGGGCGGCCGCGAGGCGGCAGCGCAGCGCAAGGTCACATTGCTGCCCGCGGTGACAAAGCGGGCAGGCGTGGCGTCGCGGTCCGAGGAGACCGTGATGATCGGCGGGTCCGGGCCGTCTGGAAGGAGGAGGGGTCGGGACTGCGAGTGTCAGGGTCACCTGGGACTCCGCTAGGACTCCTGGAGACTGGTTCCCCAGCCCCCTTCTCCCCAAGGACCCCCTGTCCCCGTCCCGAGGTACCCCCACACTCACAGAAGACGGTGACGTCGGCGGCAGCCTCCCTGCGGCCGAAGGGGCTGCGGACGCGGCAAGTGTACCGGGCGTGGTCGCTGCGCACAGGGCGCACGATGAGCAGCTGGTCGCCCTCTGAGCGGATCCGGGGCGGCTGGGCTCCCTCGGATTCCGACGCCTCCAGGGCACGTCCGTCCCTGCTCCAGCTCAGCTCCCCGCGACCGGGTCCCCACCCCAGGCAGCGCAGCCGGAGCTCGGCCGCCCCCTCCTCTGTCTCTGGAGCCTTGGGCTGAACCGACAGCTGGGGTAGGGGCTCTGGGAGAGGGAGAACGGGCTCAGGACACAGTCCTGGAGCCCATCTTTGGTCCCCTTAGAGGGAGCCCCAGCCGCTGCTCCCTCTAAGCCCCTGGAGTCCCGGCCCGCACCCCTCTCCTCTCATAAACCCATGAGTTTGAGCCCCCAGACCCCTCCTCTCCGGGACCCAGGAGTTCGACAGAAGAGGCTCCCAGCCTCCTCCTCCTCCCTCAGACCTGGGAGTCCAGGCCCCCAGGAGTCTCCATCCCAAGTCCAACGTTGCTCAAACACCCCTGCCTTGACCTCTAGCTCTTTTCCTCCCTTCCTCAACCCAGAAGCCCTCTTCTGCCATCCAGGGACCCCACAGCACCGTGACTTGCCCAAAGTCTGGCAGAGCAGACCAGCCCCTGCCGCCTGCACTCCAGCCGCCAGGGCCCACTTACCATACACACCCACCGTGAACTCGCGAGTCTGCCGGGAGACCCCTGCCCGGATGACTTCAGCCGTGTAGACCCCTGCATCGTCCAGCTGGGCAGAGGCGAGCTCCAGAACCCCCCGGGCCTGGTCAAATCGCAGGCGGTCTCGGTGAGCAGGGTCCAGGCTGATCAGAGGTGCCCCTGGCCCCAGGCCTCCAGTTGCCAGCACCTTAGAGCCCCGGCGCCAGACCACCAGAGGGGTGGGGGGCCCAGGGCTGGGGACTGGGACCAGGGGGAGCCGGATGGTAGTTCCCACCAGCACAGCCAGTGGGCCCCCCAGCTGCTGGGGGAAGCTTGCCGCTGAGTGGGTCTCTGCAGAAAAGTTGGATTCAGGGCTCTGGGCAGAAAGTTGAAGATCCATGTCATCAGGGGAGAATTTCGAATCTGGGGCCTCAACAGAGAGTTTGGTGTTGGAGACTTGAGTAGAAATGTTTGAAGCTGGGGTCTTAACAGAGAAGGAAGGCTTGGGGTCTTTGGCAGGAACTTGTGGTTCCAAAATATCAGGAAATACTTCAGAACCAGGGGTTTCAGAGGAGGAAACCGGGCTCAAATCTTGGCCCTCAGCAGAAACATTTGACCAGAAGGACCCAGACATGTTGTTGGAACTCAGGGCCTCAGGAAACCAGCTGGAATCAGAGATTCCTGCAGAGCCTTTTGAATCCAGGGACTGATCTGGAAATTTCCAGCTGGGAGGTTTGATGGAGGGAACTTCTGCACCCAGCCCCTGGGAAGAGCTCTTTGAGTCCGAAGAGAAGGCAGAGGAGAAGTTGGTTTGCTGAAGTCCAGAAGAGGCTCTGAGGGTGAGGACCCCTACCAAGGAGGCTGCAGAGAAGAGGGGAAAGCGTTGGGGGAGGCTGCTCCGGGGGACTGGAGGGGAGGGGACTGAGCAGGGAACTTACCCAGGAGTAGGAAGAGTGGCAGAGCCTGTGGGGTGTCCATGGTGCTGGCCTCACTGAAAGGACACTGGAGAGAGACCCAGGACTGCACCCATCCCTCCTGGGTTAGACGAGTCCAACAGGACTGGTAGCTTAGCTTCCTGGGAGGGGAAGGGAGCCAGACCCAGTGGGAGGGGCCAGGATCCCCAACCCCGATGTGGTGGCTGAGCTGCCCACCCCACCCCACTCTCTTCATCAGCTGGTCCCATCTGCAGGGAGGCCCAGCCTGATCCCTGCACTCCCCATCCCCAGGGGGCAGATGGAGAAAACATTCCCAGCTAAAAATGTGGTAGCAAGTTTGTGGGACAAAGCCAGGAAGACTTCCTGGAGGAGGGTGAGGTGACCTTTCTGAGAGCCCCACCTCTGATGGCCACAGCTTCAGAACAGGCTTCCTCCTCCCCAGCCTCCTGGCCCCTTCCACTCTGTCTTGCCTGCAGCCTCAGATACACCTGACCGTGCTCCTCCTCTGCTCCAAACCCTCCCACGGCTCTCTCAGAACCAAGTCTCCAGGTGCTATCTCCTGCCAGGGCCTCTATCCTGAGACCAGAGCTGCATTTCCGCATCCCCGAGGCCCTCACATGACCTGTGTCCGGCTAAACTCAGAATCTTTCCTCTAACCCAAACTTCCTCACACCTCCAGGATGGCTTCACCATCTTCGCAAATGCTGGGAAACATTCCCAACCTCCTCCCTCCCCGTCACCACTGTCAATCTGAGTCCAACCCTCCTCACCCTGGTTCTCACTGGCCAGGCGCTGTCTTCTCTTCCTGCCCCGTCTCCCTCCTCTGCCCAGTCTCCTCCAGTCCCTGCCAGGGTCCTTCTACACCCAGAGCCGAACCTGCCTTCCCCTGCTCACAGCCCTCCCCTGGCTCCCCAGCGCCCTCTGGAGACATCCAAGCTTCACAGCAAACCCATGCACACCTCCCCACTCCAGCACTTGAACATCCTGCCCGCCCATCTCACCTCCCAGTCCTCTACCTGGAATGCTCTCACACTCTCCACCTCCCTCCAGCCTGGCTAAACCACAACTTGTCCTTCAGGTCTCACCTTATTAAGAACCATAGTAATTACCACTTAGTTTGAGCCAGGAACTATGCTAAATGTTTCCTATGCGTTATCAGGCTGAACCCTTCTAAACACGCTATGAGCTGAGTGTCATTATACTCACTTTGCAGGCCAGGGGACTTAGGCTCAGAGAGGTCAAGGGACCTGCAGGAGGTTGCACAGCCAGAGGGAGAAGCTGGACTTGGGACCAGGATGGTCAGACCATTGACTCCTTCTGATAGCTTTTCCCACCATCCCATGCTGAGCTTAGGGCCTCTGCTCAGCTCCCAGTCCTCTAAGCTTACCTTGGCCCAGTTCTCACCAGTAATAATACTGGTAATATATGTATTTTTTGAGACGGAGTCTCCTTCTGTCACCCAGCTCACTGCAGGCTCCATCTCCCGGGTTCGAGTGATTCTCCCGTCTCAGCCTCTGGAGCAGCTGGGAGTACAGGCACGCACCACCACACCCGGCTAATTTTTATTATTTTTAGTAGAGATGGGGTTTCACCATGTTGGCCAGGCTTATCATGAGTTCCTGACCTCAAGTGATCCACCCACCTTGGCTTCCCAAAGTACTGAGATTACAGGCGTGAGCCACCGTGCCCGGACTGACACTGGTAATAATATATGTCTAGCATTTTTTGCATAGCAGGTGTGGTTATGGGGGTGCTACATAAATTAACCTTTCAAAACTCCATGGAGTAGATTATGTAGCTTAAAGAGGGCTGCAAATTTGAGGATCCTCCTGTTAAGATGTGGGGTCTATCTCCCCACTCCTTGGATCTCAGTAGGCTTTGTGACTGCTGGACCAAGACGTGGAAGTGACCCTGTGCCAGGGTCTGCATCTAGGCCGGCATATGCCACTTTCTGTATCATAGGACACTCCCTCATGGAACCCAGCCGCCACACTGGGAGGAAACTCAGCAGTCCCATGGAGGGGAATCATGGCCCCTGGTCAGCAGCCCCAGCCAGCTTGCTGGCCATGTGGGTAAGCCCTCTTGGAAGTCAACCCCCTGGCCCCATTTGAGGCACCTGAACTGATCCTGCACCGAGGAGAGACAAGCTGTCCCTGCTGAGCCCTGCCCAGATTCCAGACTTAAGAGCATAATAAACAAGTGTTGTTTTAAGCCACCAAGTTTTGGGGTGGTTTGTTATGCCAGAACAGACAACCAGAATATAGGTATCACTAATTCCACCTGATAGAGAAAGAAACTGAGGCTCAGGGAGTAGTTGCCTATCTGAGGTCCTCCTAGAGCCAGGAATGGGTCCAGTGGGATTTGACCCAGGGCCCTGGGACCCAGAACCCATGCCCTTAACCCCTACATGATGCCGTTACGATTTTGATCTGCAGAAGAGGCAACTGAAACTCAAAAACAGGAAGGAACTCACCCAAGATCTAGCTGGCAAAGGTGAGAGTGAGCATATGAAATCACATGCTGTCAGAAGGCCAGAGGAATGGAACACAATTTTTTTAACAAAAAATTAGGCCAGGCGCTGTGGCTCACGCTTGTAATCACAGCACTTTGGGAGGCTGAGATGGGCGGATCACTTGAGGTCAGGAGTTCAAGACCAGTCTAGACAACATGGTGAAACCCCGTCTCTACTAAAAATACAAAAATTAGCCAGGTGTGATGGCGCAAGCCTGGGCAACAGAGCAAGACTCTGTCTCAAAAAAATATAATTGAAAAAAAATTAATCTGACTCTAGACCCAGGCTGTTCATCGCCACACTAAGTTTCGATTCTCTGTGGCTTGTCTCTGTCTCACACCAGAACCACAGCTTCTGGCCTCATTCTCTCCTGTGTCCCTGCTGAGACTGGGGACACAAGAGAGAATGAGTGTCCTGAGTGTTCTGCAAACATTGTGGATAAAAGCCCTTCTCACCCACCTCACTGATACTTGTGTTCCAACACTCAACGTGGAAGTCATCTCCCTGGGAAATCTCTGACCCCACGGGCTGGGCCAGGTCAGGTCCCCCAGTTGGGTTCCCAGGGGCCCAGTGTGCCTCCACCTCTAGCATACTTCACCCCGAATTACAGCTGCCTTTGTCCTCATTGTCCCCTGCATCAACACAGAGGCTCCTCGTGGGCAGGGACTGGATCCACGGGGCCTGGCACACAAAAGACTCAAGTAAATGTTGAATGAACCAAATAATGGGTCTCTAGGAAATGAGTTAACAGAGATAGACGTTGAGAGTCAGTTTTATTGCCATCTCTGGGAGGGGCTCAAATCCGCCCGATCTCCTTCAGCTTGGCCACTAGGTCCTCAGTGGTTTCCACCTTGACGCCAGCCGTGCGCTGGGGCGGGTCCTCCACGCTGATCACAGAGAGCTTGGAGGTCAGGTCCACGCCCAGATCCCCAGGCTTGATCACCTCGATCTTCTTCTTCTTGGCTTTCTGCACATGGGAAGCCACTGTTCACAGGGCTGTGGAACCCCTGCCACCCTCCTGCCACCTCCTTCCCGTGGGTGCCATGCCTGCAGACCAGTCCCATGGGCTGAACCCTCTGGACCCACCGACTGGCCAGGACACACAAAACTTCTCACAGGGCCACACCTGGTGTGGAAAACTCCTGCTGGCTTGGAGGCCCTGGGAGGCCCAACTATTGCAGCAGTCCTCCTTTAGGTAACCAATTCAGGAAGCCCTTCACGGGCTGCAACAGACTGGCAAACCCATCCTTTTGGTAGTAATGACTCTGGACTTTTGGTTGAGATGACATGCTGAAGGCTCCCAATAGGCTGAGATGATACCCTGAGCCCTCCCTATAGGCTGAGACGATGCACTGAACCCTCCCTATAGGCTGAGACGATGCGCTGAGCCCTCCCTATAGGCTGAGACGATGCGCTGAGCCCTCCCTATAGGCTGAGACGATGCGCTGAGCCCTCCCTATAGGCTGAGACGATGCGCTGAGCCCTCCCTATAGGCTGAGACGATGCGCTGAGCCCTCCCTATAGGCTGAGACGATGCGCTGAGCCCTCCCTATAGGCTGAGACGATGCGCTGAGCCCTCCCTATAGGCTGAGACGATGCCCTGAGCCCTCCCTATAGGCTGAGACGATGCCCTGAGCCCTCCCTATAGGCTGAGACGATGCCCCGAGCCCTCCCTATTGGCTGAGACGATGCACCGAACCCTCCCTATAGGCTGAGATGATGTAATGAACACTCTGTAATGGCTGAAATGACTCACTGAACCTTCCCCATTGGCTGAGATGATCCATTGAACTCTCCCTGTTGGTTGAAATGACCCATTGAATATTCTCCATTGTCTGAGATGACTCACTAAACTGTTAATATTGGCCAAGATGACCCAGCGAACCTCTCCTACTGGCCGTGATGATTAGTGAACTCTACCTGTTAGCCAAGAGACCCCATGCACCCTTCCTAGTTAGCCAAGATGATCTACACGATAACTTCGCATTGGCAAAAATTACCAAGGGGACCCTCCCTAATGAACCAAGATGACCCAGTGAACTTGTTCCACTGGCTGGAATGACAAAGGGAACAATGTCTGCTACCCAGCGAAGCCTTCCTACTGGCCTAGATACCAGCAAGCCCTCCCTGCTAGCCAAAGCAGCCCCCGTGAACTCTCAGCATTGGCAGAGATGACCCAGCAAACCCTCTCTATCAGCCAAACTCCAGGTGACGGCTTCCTGCGTACGAGACCTCCCTTGGATCCTTCCCTCCCCCGATGCGACCACCAGGGGGCACTGGGCTGGCAATGTGCTTGCCAATCCCAGGCCCTCAGTGCCCGCTGGCCAGGGGCTCACCATGATGTTGGGCAGCGTGGCATAACGGGGCTCGTTGAGCCTCAGGTCAGCTGTCACCACAGCTGGCAGCTTCAGGCGCAGGGTCTCCAGGCCCCCGTCGATCTCCCGCTCCACTTTCAACTTGTCCCCTTCCAGCGTCACCTGGGAGGCGAATGTGCCCTGGGGAGGGACAGTGTAGGAGGAGAGTGGGTGAGGCTAATTCAGGTCCGATCCGAGCAGTCCGCTTATGACACTACTGAGTACATGCACGGACAAGTGAATGAAGGAGGGAGCGAACAATGCAGGGTCCCATGAGGTTTAGAATCGATCCTGTACACCTGGGAGAGCGTATCTTTCCTTTTCCTGAGAGCCACGGTGTATGTACTGATGTCCTACGTCCTGATGCTGCCAGTGAGGCCTCCCTGCGTTCCTGACAGTGAACACGTACTGAGTGCTGGGCCCTGTGCTAAGCAACTGATGGGTCAATCATCGAATCCTCGTAGGAACTTTATGAGGTAAATGTTATTATCCCCACTTTACAGATGAGGAAAACTGAGGCAGCGAGATGCTGAGTTACGTGCCCACTGCCACCCACAGCTGGTAAATCCAAAAGCTGACAATCTGACTCCCAACAGCCCCCCGTGAGGCCCCTCCACTGGGCCGACAACAGAACTGTGTGTGTCCACACCGGTCCTTAAACCACCTTCTGGGACCCCATCCTCTGGCCAGGTCCCTTTGCCTCTCAGTCCTGAATCAACATTTCCTCCCCTGGTAACTGATGCCACCTACACTCCTCTTTGTCTAACGACCTTTCTCCCTGTCCACTTACTAACATCTTTCAGGTCTTAGTGTGAACATCACATCCCTTCGTTCAGAACTTCCTCCTAGTGCCTTTATGAACCTGTCCCTGGAGATACACTGTGAACACGACCAGTGAAGCACCAGCTGGGGTGGGCTCATATTCTGCCAGGGAAGACAACCAGTCACCAGGGAAACACACACACACACAAATGAGATCATTTCAGATCAGAAGGAATAAGAAGAAAATAAGACACATGATATGAGAGCAAGAAGGGTGCAATGTTGGAGAAGCTGGTCAGATAGTGATAAATGCTTTGAAGATAAAACAGGATCATGGTTTTGAATGTGCTGTCCCATCCAGTAGCCACGGGCCGCGTGTGGCTGCCCAGCACTTGAAATGTGGCCAGTGCAGCTGAGGAATGAATTTTTAAATTTTATTTAAATTTAAACACTGATAATTTGGCCAGGCGCAGTGGCTTATGCCCGTAATTCCAGAGCTTTGAGGGGCCAAGGCGAGTGGATCGCTTGAGGAGTTCGAGACCAGCCTGGCCATCACGGTGAAACCCTGTCACTACTGAAAATACAAAAATTATCCAGGCATGGTGATGCATGCTTGTAATTCGATCTACTTGCGAGGCTGAGGCAGGAAAATCACTTAAATTCAGGAGGCGGAGGCTACAGTGAGCCGAGATCGCGCCACTGCACTCCAGCCTGGGGACAGAACAAGATTCCACCTCAAAAAAATAAAAATAAATAAATACTGAGAATTCAAGATACATTACCATGATTGTGGTGATGATTTCATGGATGTAACATATATCAAAACTTATCAAATTTTGGAGGGCTGAGGTGAGCAGATTGCTTGAGCCCAGGAGTTCAAGACCAGCTTGGGCAACATAGTGAGACCCCCATCTCTATCTAAATAAAAGTGTTTAAGAAAAGCAAACTTCACAAATTGTGCAACTTAAGATATGCGCAGTTTACTGTAGGTCAATAACTCAATAAGGCTGTTTTTTAAAAAAACAAAACAAAACAAAACAAAAAACACAGATACCTAATGCAGCTACTGGAAATGCAGTTACTGGAAAACTTTGTTTTGAATAACTTGGGTGTGTAAATCTACTTCAATTGTCATCTTTAGGAACGTGTTTCTCATAGAAATTTAGCACCTGAATTGAGATGTGCTGTAAATATAAAATACATGCTGAATTTTGAAGATTTAGTACAAAGAAAATCCAAAAAACGTAAAATACAGATGGTCCCTGGCTTATGGTGGTTTGAATTAAGATTTTTCAGTTTTCTGAAGGTGTGACAGTGGTAAGCATTCAGTGGAAACCACACTGCCAGTACCCCATACAACCATTCTCTTTTTTTAGTTCCAGTATAGTGTTTGATAAATTACATGGGATATTTAGCACTTTATTATAAAATAGGCTTTATGTTAGATTATTTTACCCCACTGTAGGCTAATGTAAGTGTTGTGACATGTTTAAGGTAGGCTATGATATTTGGTAGATTAAGTATATTAAATGCATTATTTGAGTTATAATATTTTCAATTTATGATGGCTTTATCAGGACATAACCCCACT